ATAAAAAAATACCATAAAATATCATAGAAAATTACCTGAGTACCCCTGTATAGGTAAAAGACTGAAATACCCTCGGATTTCTCTAAAATTTACGAAATTACCGCTGGCTGCGCGTGTGGCTCACGTGCGGCTACTGTTGGTGGCAGCGAAATTTTCTAGTGAGATTCCAGCCAACAAATGGTTGATTCTGGTAGATCTGAGGACGAGGATTCTGATGGTGGTGGTCTCAACAGCCGTTGATGGCTGATGAGGGAGAATTGTCGACTTGAAGCTCCGGTTGGCCGATTCTGTCGCGGCCTTTTTTGCGGCCAGATTCGGCGGTGAAAACGTGTAAAAAGACCGGTTTTTTGCTTCAGAGGAGGCGATGCACCTTTCTGTGGTGGTTTGGCCGCTTAAAATGACCGGAAATGGAAGATCAGAGGAGAAAGAGAGAGAGTCGTCGGCGAGAGGAGAGAGGGGCTATGAGATTGTGCTACGGTGCAAACACGCGCATGGTGCACTGATGCATCTGAAGCCTGTGAACCGTTAGATCGCGGATGAACAGATCATGCGGCTGTGATTGGCTTGATCTGCAAGTTGATCGGACGGTCCGGATAATCTGAGTTTTATTCCGGTGTGGTGCGGTGTACCGAGTGTTTGGTACACCTGATGACGTGGCGCAACAGGATAGAAGGGCAGATTATTTTAAACGCTGAGATGGATTTGAGTTTTAATCCGGTGTGGTAAAGTCTATTGTATCCTAAAAAATCAAAGGCTCAGATTTAAATACTATTAGATCTAACGGTTGGGATATTTTTGGTATTTTTCAAATTTTTTTTTTTTTAAATCAATATCTTACTCGCGTGAAGAAAAAGTAGAAAATAAGTGAAGAGTATCAAATAGTAATACAAATAGTAAGCTCGAATTCAGAATTCTCTTCTTTTCTTTTCTTTTTTTCTTCTCTTTTTTCTTCTGGCTTGGTTTCATTGGCTCTTTATAGCCAATGATAGGGGACAAAGAATCACGGATTGTGCAAAATTTTCAATCTATAGATGCACCGCCTACCATCGGCAGAAATCCTCCACCTACTGTGACAAAATTGTATTATTTTTTTTGTTTTATTATATATAATAATAATATTTATTTATAGGAGTAAAATTAAAAACTCAAATCAGTATTATAAAATGCTTTTCAACAGCTAAACATCAATTTTAATTACCAAAAAAAATCTTTATATGGGTATCAACTCGGTGGACCGGGTTTTTTGACCAAAAATAACAGTTTTGACCAAAAATAGCTTGAAACTCATTTTTTTTATCCCAGTTGACATGGTGGGACCCGTTTTAACTTGGTGGACTCGGTTTTGACCGAAAATGACGGTTTTGACCTGAAACAGCCCGAAACTCATTTTTCATCCTGATCGACATGGTGGGACCGTTTTGACCCGGTTGACTCGATTTTGACCCGAAACGGTCTAAAACTCATTTTTCATCCCGGTCGACATGGTGGGACCCATATTGACCCGATGAACCCGGTTTTGACCGAAAATGACTGTTTTGACCCGAAACGACCAGAACTCATTTTTTATCCCGGTCGACATCGTTTAACTCGTATTGACCTGGTGGACTCGATTTTGATCGAAAGATACGGTTGACTCGAGAAAATATATTTTAAACTCTTTTTTTTATTTATATTTTTTTTGTTATGAATAATAAAATAAAATAACATTCGAGAAAATTTTAGTAAATCCAAAATTGGGTTACAACAATGTCAATAGTTTTACAATTTTATATACTATGATTTTTTTGGATATAAAAAGGAGAAATATAAATATTAACTTTTCGTTAATGTTGCTCATCTATCCCATTTTTGCGAAATAGAGTGCAAATATCCTTTGTAAGATATAAGTTAAACTTTCCACCAAATTACTAGTATATATATAAAGAAAAAAATAGATGTTTGTTGCCTCCCAGAAACTCAAATTAAAATCCTTCAACGTAAAAACTATATGATAGACAATTGACATGTTTTGCTTCCAAGATTTTCCTCAACAATTATTACATTTTGAAATTATTAACCAACCTTTCAACACACACAAATCTCTCATTAGAATAAAAAAAAAGCTCAAAAAGAATTTTTTACAAAAAAACCAATAAAATAAAATAAAAAACCTTTAAATTCAACTTTGTGTGTGTGTGTGTGTTGATTACTCATTTCTATGCTTATATTTTTTAATTAGTATGTTTTCTAAATTTGTTTTAATAATCTCTATATTTAATTTCTATCCAATCTCATTATTAACTATGCATGGTAACTATATAGCATTATCAAATACACAATTCATGAGATGAATTTCAGATTTATTTATTTACACAAGCAAATGAATTGTCTTAGAAATATAGTAAAAATATTTTTTAAATAAAAACTCTTATAAAAATATCTATAATGTGACATTTGCATGTGCAATTAACATGCATATTTTATGGAAGTTAACTATTGAATTAATTTAATAAAATTAGATAATAAAATCTAATTGAATGAATTTAAAGAGAACATAAAAATTAATTGATTAAATTATGAATATAGCAGTCGAGATGAACAATTCACACAAACAATTTAGTAGTAACAAAGACGGCGGATCTTATTACAAGACAGAGAGAGCCCAATTAATAAATCACAGCCCAGCAAAATAAACCTACCGAGATCCGTCTACCATAACGAGCGCGCAATCTACAGAACCAGAACCCCTTCAAAACCCTCTCCCGCCCTCCCTCCCTCCCTCTCTCTTCTACTTCTAGGCATGCAGCACCTTCTCTTCTTCCTTTCTTGCCTTCATTTTTGCTTATGTATATTGTTTCGCGATTCAGTTTCTATTTACACAAGCTGTCCACTTGGAATACTTTCGTTACGACTGAATGGTTACTATCCTAGTTACTTTCCTGTATCGTCGTTAGTATGGATCTTTAAGAAATGGGTTATTCGATTTGTAGAGAAAATTAGACACCCTGATGCTAGTGTGAGCTTGTTAAGTTACCGCGTTTATGTGTTTCTTGTTTTCAAGTTGCATGAGGTAAAAAGGTGAGATTTGAAGTTTAGTTCGAGTGGGAAAAAGGGGTCAGTGAGATTGTAGTCTTCGTTTTTTTCTTAACTTTTCTTAATCAGAGATTATAATGGTTTTGTTTTTAATGTTGATTGATACAAAATGCGAAGAATTTTTAAGCACAAATTTAGTTGGTATTCACTGGGTTTTGTGGAGGTTTGGCTGATTCGGCGGTGTTTGGTTATTGATTTGGTTTATGATTTGGTATGGCAGGTTAACGTGGTGACATGGACGACAATTTATATGATGAGTTTGGGAACTACATTGGTCCGGAAATAGAGTCTGACCAAGAGAATGATGGAGAGGAAGAAGATGAAGAACTCCCAGACAAGCCTCATTAGGATGAGGAGGAATCTGATGGTGAGGACGCAGTTCATGCTTCCAATGGGTGGCTTGCTGCTTCTGATGATGTTGATATGGATAACCAAGTTGTTCTTGCTGAGGACAAGAAGTACTACCCAACTGCGGAGGAGGTTTATGATCCAGGTGTTGAAACGTTGGTTAATGATGAAGACGAGCAGCCTCTTGAGCAACCAATAATTAAGCCTGTTAGGAACATCAAGCTTGAGGTTGGGGTTAAGGACTCTTCAACTTATGTTTCCAGCCAGTTTCTTGTTGGTCTCATGTCAAATCCCTCTTTGGTTCGTAATGTTGCCCTTGTGGGCCATCTACAACATGGGAAGACAGTTTTTATGGACATGTTGGTTGAGCAAACGCATCATATGCCCACTTTTGATTTAAATAGTGAGAAGCATATAAGATACACAGATACAAGGATCGATGAGCAAGAAAGAAGGATATCTATCAAGGCAGTTCCAATGTCACTCGTTCTTGAGGATAGCAATTCAAAGTCGTACCTCTGTAACATCATGGACACCCCTGGTCATGTCAACTTCTCTGATGAAATGACTGCTGCATTCAGGCTTGCTGATGGTGCCGTGTTGATTGTGGATGCAGCTGAAGGAGTGATGGTAAGAATTATTTTCAGTTCAATATTGCTAAATTCATTACAAAAATAGTACGTTCATATCCTATTATGATTTTATCCACACATATGTGGATTACTTTGCGAAGCCCTTTTCCTTAGATAGTAAATTCATCAATCATGATGAGTTCAATACATAACATATTCTAGTCTTCTTCCCAATAAACATGAAGTCTGCAAATGGTTTTGTCCATGATTGGGCCAATTGCAGCAGCAAGGCTATAATATTCTATTGTTTGACTTGTGTCAACTTGTTCTCAAAACCATGCACCTATAGATCTTGTTTAAAATTTGAAGATGCTATTTCATGATATAACTGTTGTTTCTATGTGTGAACGAGCTTGGTCTAGCTGCTTGATATGACAAATTTTCTTTTTTTGCTTTGGTAAACACGGAGAGGGCCATACGCCGCGCAATTCAGGAACAGCTGCCTATTGTTGTTGTGATCAATAAGGTAATTCCCTCCTACCACTGTCTCTATTGGCACGTGCAATTTGATTTTTCAAATATTTTGATTGTTTCAGTAAGTGCTCTTTGCATATTTTGTTTTGAAGGTTGACAGACTCATAACAGAGCTTCAATTGCCCCCAAAGGATGCTTACCATAAGCTAAGACATACCATAGAAGTCATCAATAACCATATATCTGCTCTCTCTTTGACTGCTGGAAATGTCCTAGTTATAGATCCAGCTGCTGGAAATGTTTGTTTTGCTGGTGCAACCGCAGGATGGTCCTTCACTTTGCATTCCTTTGCCAGATTGTATCTCAAACTCCATGGTATCCCATTTGATGCTGATAAGTTTGCATCTCGTCTCTGGGGGGATATGTACTATAATCCTGAGGACAGGACTTTCAAGAAGAAACCTCCTGCTAGTGGAGCAGAAAGATCGTTTGTTCAATTTGTGCTGGAACCTCTTTACAAAATACAGCCAAGTGATTGAAGAACATAAAAAAAGTGGTCCTTCTCGTGCACCCCACTGAAACCTATCCAAAAGAACATGAAGGCTTTAGTTAGGCATTTGGTTAAAAGGTAAACGAAAAGAAGAACGTTCCAGTTTACCCTTGAACAATCCAGTTTACCCTTTAACAATAGAATCCTTCACGGCACCCAGTAATCCCATGTCCACTTCAGTAGGAAGAGTGTCATCTAGCAAAATGTTAGGTCCCTGCAGATATCAATGTCAAATAAGATTAATTAAGTTTGTTTAATCCAATCATTGAAAAATGAGTGAATTAGAGTATCACAATATGAGCAGGATTTGACCACAGATCATTTGAAAAAATTAAATCACAGGTAGATTGTTCTGCGAGTACATTATGCATCTAGATTACCTGCTTGTCAGGGCCAAAAGCCCATATGGATCGGGCTGCAAGCAAATCCCAATCATATTTTGTCTTGAAGAAGTCACCTAGAGCCTTCCGGTTCCAGTCAATACTTACAACACCATCCTCAATGTCTTCTGCAAGCCCTTTTTCCAATGGCACAGCTATCTATAAAGTTAAGAATCATTTCAGATTAACTAAATTAAAAGTCCACAGCATTGAAATAGAAAGGCCCAAACTAGATCAAATAAAACTTTTGGCCTTCTTTACCATGGTTATTTTGTTTTTCTTGCTGGGTGTTTCAGCAAAGCATTTCATTGATGAAGACTCCACCACTGTTTCACAGAATGAGACAACAGGATCGGCTACCTACATTTGACATGAAGCATTAGAAAAGATGAATCTGCATTAAAACTAAGAGCATCCCATAGGAAAGAGCAGAATAAATCACAGAAGTATATTAAATAGGATTGTGAGAAATAGATTCCTTGACTTCCCCTTCAGAATACAGCTCTCTAAGGTCCTTCATAATAGAATCCAAGTACAACTCTCCAGTACCAAGAACAGTGTGCTCCCCAGACTCCTCGACTTTAGTTATGGCCAGAGGATAGCTTTTACTAATCTTCCTAAGACCCTCCACCATCTTGGGCAACTCGCTTGGATTTAGAGGCTCAGTGGCGGTTTTAACTACTGGGAGAGTATTGAACTGAAGTGGTCCAAATACGTATGTATCTTCTTCATTATAATTCACATTACTGAGAGTTGCAGTTTTCATAATTGAAGCATCCACACCTTCAATGAGAACCAAGGAACCAGGAGGTGCCATGCTTATGGGTAACCTATACCCTATACCGAGCTTGATATACCCATAGTTTGGTCACTTCTTTTACTGTCATGTCCTCCTCATCCTCTTGTGAATAGCCTTCTCCCAAAACTTTTATAGACTGCCTGTCATAATTTTACCACTATAAACCCTACAAAAAGCATCAAAGGAACTGCAATCTGACTTAGGATACAGTTTGGTCATATTAACCATTAAGGGGCCAGAAGGATCACAATCTACCATGGCATGGTAAATCATTGAGTCTTTGGGCCCAGTATAGGTATGATCAACCTTTCTAGCAGCGCCACCCATTTGTTGTGGAAATAAAAGAAAGCTAAATCAATGTCTCGTGAAAAGATGAGAAATTAAAATAAAACTACTATTATAATCCATAGTAAAAATTATCTTGATCTATAATGATTTCCCCGTACTATTTTTTTCTTTTATAATATGTTTATTATCTAATAACCTGGGATAGATTTGATAAGATCTATTAGATTGTTTCATTGTGTTTTAGCGAGTGTTGTTAAGAGAGTATCCCAGGTAAATTAGTTGGTCTAGGTGTGGCCTGGATCTACACTTGAGATCTACTCGAAGGAGATTAAAATGTTAATGCAAGCCTTTTCTTTTATTATGAAGTTGACGGTGCAAACTTTTTTTTCTCTTTAAATTTTCAACCTAACAAAAAAAAGAAAAAGAAAAACAAACCCATCAACTTCAGTTAAAAAGAGGAAACATGTAAAGGCTTGAATCATTAATAGAAGTCTAACATCCTTGAATGGTCATTCTTCATTTTAAATTGGATGAAATCAACTCTTGTATTTTCAATCGAAGGTGACTTGATTTCCTTTGTCCAACTCCATTACTAATTACAAGAGATATATATTTTGTATAAAATATTTTATAAGAAAATTAATTAAAATAAAATACTTTACAAAACCTAAATAAAACAAAAAGATATGACTGATATTTAAATTTATTTTATTTATTGAAAATATTTCCAACTCATAAAATTTCATAAAATATGTTACAAAACAATTATCAACTATTTTAACCATTATTATTATTATTATTGTTGCCACCAACACTATCACAACTTTTATCATTACCATGATCATTGTAATTATCATTTTATTATTGTCACCATTATTATCACAACCTTTGTGATCACTACCATCATTGTAATCATCATCCTATTGTTGCCACCACTACTAATATAACTTTTATCGTAATCATTATTATTATCATTATAACCTTAATGTTGTCACCTCCACTTCCATTTCCACCTTACATCTTATTATTATTATTATTATTATGTTTTTAAATTATTATTCATCCACTTCCATTTCCACCTTACATCTTATTATTATTATTATTATTATGTTTTTAAATTATTATTCATCCACTTCCATTTCCACCTTACATCTTATTATTATTATTATTATTATGTTTTTAAATTATTATTCATCCACTTCCATTTCCACCTTACATCTTATTATTATTATTATTATTATGTTTTTAAATTATTATTCATGTAAAACCTTCTCCATTCATGGAAAGATTTACACAAAATGAAGAATGGATGTATGAATTCCATATATTAGTATATAATTATATGAATGATATGAAATTACCTTTAATTGGAAATAAAGAGACAATTTTGACTCACTATAAGAAAATAAGATATTGAATAAAATCTCAATCTTAGATCTAACTCTTTGACCTTAGAAACCTCAATCAATTAATTACAAATTAAAAGAGAAAAGAGTTTTATTATATTCTTCCTCGTAATGCACTATTAATTGAAATAGTGCTTTATTTTATTATTATTATTTGAGTGTTTTTTAATTATTTTTTTTTAATTTTATCCTTTAATTTTATAGTTGTTTTTTTATTGAGTTATCACACTTTCATGGCACGAATTACGAGTTTGACGAGTTAACTTAGTTGACTCAAATTTTTTTTCTTCTTTTTTTAATTATTTTTTTCTTTCAATTTTATCATTTAATATTTGGTTAATTATGAATTAAACTTTATAATTTATTTTTTTTTACTTTTTATTATATTATTCTAGCCTTATGACCCGAGAATAATGCTTAATGGGTTAACCCGAGTTGACTTAGATTATTTTTTTTATCTTTTTTAATTGATTCATTTTTTGATTTCATCATTCAACACTAGATCAATTAGGAATTAAGCTTCATAATTTATTTTGATTTGCTTTCCATATGAGTATCTTGCACGATCAAGGTAGTGGGTTTTGAAATTTTAACCTCGGTTAACTCAAATCATTTTTTTTCTTTCTAAGAAGTTATCTTGATCTCATGACCTAGATTACGAGTCCTTCAATATTGGATTTTATTTTTAATGGGATGTCTCTATCTCATGATTCGAGTCGTAGGTTTACCGAGTCAGCCTAGTTGCCTCAGTTTTTTTCTTTATTTTAATTAATTTTTCAATTTCATCATTTAATATTATATTTTATTAGAAATTATACTTCATAATTTGTTTCAGTTTGCTTTTTATTAGGTTATCTCGGCCTCATGATCGAAGTTTGACAAGTTAACTTGGGTCGCTTTTTAGGTCAGTTTTAATTGATTTTTTTTTTAATTTCATCTTTCAATATTGGATTGATTGAAAATTAGGCTTCATAATTTATTTTGATTTATTTTATATTGGGTTATCATAGTTTCATAACCTGAGTCATAAATTTAACATGTTAACCCGAGTCGCAAAGTTATGGCTTTATTTTCTCTTATGAAACATCTCATCATATAATCATTAAAATATATTATATACTTATGGACAAATTTGTTCCCTTTCCTAAAATTATTCCATTGATCTAAAATATTTAATTTATAAAATTGAGGTATGTAATTCTCCTGAAGTTCTTATTTTATTTTAGTTCGATCAATTATAGGAGGTTTACCTCTTCTTTTTAAACAATCCTCAACGTGTCTTCAATAAAGTTTGGTTTAACTAATGAACATCATCTTAATAAATCTAACTTTTCTATTATCAAACAAATTATGCTACTCAGAAAATTGATCTATGTCACGAATCCACATATAAAATATCCAAAGATCATGATGACCATAAAAATTGAGGGATTCTATTTTATTAGGGTTTATGACTCACTCATTAATGTTATCATGCTGAGAGTAACCTAAATGATATTCATACTAATGGATATTAGGGTGAACTTTCCTACCATGGTTATTCCTCCTGTGATATTTAATGGTTTTTGAATGCCTTACTTGAGAACTCTCTTAGGATTCAATTCTTTTACACATGTTGGTCATCTATGTTTGTAGTTCCCCTCAAATGACCCTAAAAGTATCACTAAGGAACAGGTTTATGGTAAATGTAATTTTAAGTTTGGACATTAGATGATTACGATACAAATACATGTAACATTAACTTAAAAATGAAATTGAGATCACATTCTTACAAATAAATGTGATGATTCTTACAAATAAAATCATAATACAAAAATAAATCTATTTTTTTTTAATGTAGAGATTAATCAAGTACATAAAACACTAGAAGAGTTTTAAGCATGCAATGGTGTACCTTTAAGTGTAAATTATTAATCAAACATAATGTCACATGCAATAACTAACAAATAACAAAGAAGACTAGATGCTAAATTATCATATTAAAAGAGGTTGATAAGCAAAAATAACATATAGAAATGCAAGGGAGGATTTTATTTTATTTTTTTGAATTTTGAATTGTTTTTTAGACACAAAAGTAATATTAATAGCAACTTAAAATGACAGGTGCAAAATAAATAAAAATCAACAAATTAAAAAATAGAATAATTTATTGTGGTTGATGTAGCAACATTGAGGAGTATAGTAGAGCTTGCTTTTTAAAATATCTTTTCTTATAAATTTATAAAAACAACATATTTTTTTATTTTTAAAAATTATTTTTATTATTAATATATGAAAATAATTTAAAGAATATCAAAAAATATTAATTTAAAATAAAAATAATTTTTTTTTAAAATATTTTTAAAACTTAAAATTCTTCGATGACATGGTATTGTTGACATGGCAGGGCTGGATGAATTTACCGTGATTTGTAGGCTGATCTTTGGCTAGTTTATGCTTCGGTTATTGCTGGTGACTGCGTGAGGCAGTGATGGTCTTCTCAGTGACTATTCAGGCAAGGCAGCGACTGAGGTGGGTGATATACAGTGGGCAACAAGGAGACCAAGTTTGTGGGTTGGCTGATTTGCCATAGCAGGACAATCTGCTGGTGGAGTCGTCGGTTTGCAACTGTGAGGTGGGGGAACGAATGTGTGGTGGGACAGGTGTGGGGGTAAAATAAAAGTCTGATACCACACATAAAAAAATAGATTTAAAGTTGAATAAAAAAATAAAAAAAGCTAGAAAATAAAAATATAGGGTTGGAAAAGTTTACAACTTTATAAATTTTATTCAACTCATTAAAAATGTCTAACATCTAAAAAAATATAATATAAATATCAAAATCTTAACTATAAATAAATAATTAGGTTTGTAGCTCACTAAATAAATATCCAATAATAATTAAATTAAACTTAATAAATAAAATAAAATAAAACAATAACTAAATTAAGTTCAATAAATAAACCTAAATAAAACTCAATAAAATAAAAGTTAAGCTATCCTTCATCATTATAGATCATGCGAAAGTGTGAACCATGTCTCAGGTTTGGTATTTTTATCATGGAGTGATTAAGCTTAACCACTAGTCCACTAACTTTCGTAGGAATAGAAAATACTTCAATGCTTAAATTAGTAATTATAGTATGAGAATATAATATATAGTAAAAGAAGATATAAATTATAGAGAGTATGTATTTTGATGCGGAACAACAAACAAGAGAATTAAAGTCGGGAACAGAAAGAAGCTTTAGAAAAGAAAAAATATGAAGAAAAGAAGAAAGGGGATTGAAGATATGCAAAATCTGTAAATTTTCATTAATAATAAAAATCCCCTTTCAAGATGACAGAATAACCTATAAATAGTAAACCCTAAAACATATCGCTATTGGGCTCGGCCCATCTATCAAACTGTTTAACATAAATAATAAAATAACAAGAGCATATCAAAATGGGCTAAATAAATAAAATAACAATGAGCAGGCCCAAATGAGCTAAATAAATAAGCAGGCCCAAATGGGCTAAATAAATAAAATAACAATGAAATAGGCCCAAATGAGTTTAGTCTCCCAATCAAAGCGTGATAAGCTAGGATGTCCTACGTCGTCTCTGTCTATATGCTCGTGTAGTTTGGGGTGTGGGTCTGGTG